TGCTTATTTTCGGGTATTATTTATTTTAAGAGTTGCTTATTTTTGGGGGTTGCTTATTTTCGGAGGAATACGGTAATAGCAAATTACGCCAGTACTCTGGACGTAAATCCGTAAGATCATAAATGTCTCGACACAAATGCAGCCCACGTGGTTTCGATCCTGTTTTGTTGAAACGTTTAATAATAATGAAATACAAGTTTTATAAATCCAGTTGTTGTTTTATAGGCTATATGAATCAAAAAGTTTTATTGAAAGAAATTTTATTAGTTATAAGGATTGATCAGAAAACTGAAGCCTAAAATAATATAAAGTATTGAAATCAACACTAATTTTTGTTTATTGAAGATTCTATATGAACAAACGTGAAGATCGCTTATTTGAATTTTCTAAGAGGATTTTTTGGCATTTTCTTATTGAAAGCTACGAATAAAAATCATAATCAATCAAAATCCAGTCCAATATCTAAATATCTGTCTGAATTACATGACTGCATTATTATCTATATCCGACCAAAAACAACCGCAAAATACTTATTGTAATTTCAAGCCTCATCCTCTTTGATTTTTAAATTCTTTTAAATATAAAGGTTACAGAATTAGTCATATAACCAGGAATTCGAGAAATAATATCTGGAGGTACCCGCCATATCAAACTGGAAATTCGTAAGAGCCACGAATTTCTTAATTTTCTTATCCTCATCTTTCTGAGTTATTAAACTTTTCCGGACGTTCACCAATACCTCATTTTTATCTATAACCATTCGTACGATTTGACTTGCTTGTTTCTCATTCCTTTCCAGTTTGCTAACTAAACATAAGGCAAAGTCTGTAAACTCTCCATACTCTATATTTGTCAGATTTCTTTTCTTCGCACACACATCTTCTTCTTCGTGCTTTCTCTTTCTTGTTGAGGACAGTCGTTCTATGAGTTCAGTATCTAATTTACGCTTAATTTCCATTAGTAGTCCGAATGCTTCTTGATCTCCTATAATAAAAAAAAAATGCGCTAAAAAAGAATCGCTCTTATCAACATTGTAAGGGTGACGCCCAGATTTGTGATATTTAAAGCTTACCAAGACATACGATTACTTCTAATGCTAACGTTGAGAGTCTTTGTAATTTCTCATCACTCCATCTTCCTTCTAAGTATGTTATTCCATGAGCATTATGGTTTCTAGCTTCGACTTTAAAGGCTTTGAATAAAATTGATGGGTCGGATTTGTACGATCCGTAGAATAATGTTTGATGTTGACCACGCGTGAACAGAGATAAGTTTTGAATAATAAAGTTAAGCACACATAATAAATCCGCATTAGAGAAACCAGTTAGTTTTGGTGGGTTACATTTTGAAACGAAGTTCTCCACAGTTTTATGAGAAATGTATCTTTCGTTTTTAAAAATAAATCGGAAAAATGACCTTTCTACGTGTTCAAGAATTGGCTCAACATACGCGCCTTGTTCTGAAGGCAGAAATGAGAACCGTTGTGGTATTGGTGAGGATAATAAATCACAAGTCACATCAATTTGATCTTTCTTTTCGTTTTCTTGATCACCTTGATCTTTTTCCTTTTGATCATCTTTTTCATCACCTTGATCTTTTTCCTTTTGATCATCTGTTTCATCACCTTGATCTTCTTCTTTATCTTCATTTTTGTCTCTCTGGCTTTCCGTCTCCTGCAACTCTTCCTTCTCCTGCAATTCTTCCGTCTCCTGCAACTCTTTCTCGAGTTTGCAGTCCGTCAGGCTTCCAATTGCGTGTTGCAATACGTTAGAAAAAAATCGTGTTCTCCTAAAAACTGCACGATTATTTTGATTAATAATTTTAAGTTGTAATATAGGTCACAAATGGTCTATCCATGAAAAAGCTAATAAAATTGCGTTTATGAAAAATGGTAAGTGTTTATAAGTCATAAATGGTTCGCAAGTCTTGATCATGTAAAAATAAATATATGGTGCCCCGAATGCAATCATCATAATATTGAGACGGCATAGCCTCCGGCATGTACCAAAAATGGGGAATGCCTCTCTTCAGATAATAAGACTCCTTTACAATGGAAATGTGATAAGGGCGCATATGGACTACGAATTTAAATAAAATAAAAGACTATCACCAATAGTGCCCCACCTGTGGTGGACGCACATACAATGCTTCTTTGACATTGTGAAAAATCTCATCACTACCCGTTCCTGTGAACACGATACCATAGAGTAGTTGAAATACTTCCCAAACGCTTGATTCGCAGTTCGTCTTATTCGTGTGTATGAGCTCTCGAGTTGCTTGATATTTTGAGCAAACCTTCAACCAATCTACGCTGGACCTTGTCTTCAGTGATACAAATAAGGTTCTCGGATTCCTGAAATAAATGTATGATATAAACACTTTCTCGGAAAAAATAAAATCAAAACATATTAATGATCAGAACTTTCGACCCTTATAATAGACCATGCAAAATTTTGTCCATTCCGTAGATTCTTGGTTGCAACGTTTGTGGGTTTGGTACAAAAAGTAAAAGGTTTAAACGACCTGCGAAAAATGTTTCGTGTTAAATAACGCTAACTAGGTTCACTTCGATAATACTGGTGCGAAAAGGATGCTCGTTTTTAACCATTACTCCTAGAGATATACACGAGGTATATTTCTTCTGAACGTTATGGACCAAAGAATCTAGCAAACACACGAGATGTTTCTCGACTTTTGATACCTTCCACCTACCAAACACACGAGGTGTTCTCGAGATTTTTAGTTAAGCAGTCCACACTTCGCACTCTCATTATGGAAGAATATGCTACTTCAATAAGAAACTACAATTTTTTTTTTTTTTTTTTTTTTTTTTTGAGATTCCAATAAAAAAATTATAAATATTAATATTTTTGTTAGTGTGGGAAAAAAAATTTAGATTTCCCCCTTTTCTATCAATATAAAAAAGATTTCGGGTCTCATGACTATAAACTTGTGTAACCTTGAGTTGGTATTTATCTAAACCCTATCACGTACGTCGTCACGTACAAATTTAGATTGCAACTCTCTGACAATCATGACAAAACTTTCCAATTGGCTAGAAGAAAACCTTTTTAATAATATTAAGCACGACCTCGAGTCCACACTTCGCACTCTCATTATGGAAGAATATGCTACTTCAATAAGAAACTACAATTTTTTTTTTTTTTTTTTT